AGCGCAGTTGTCACAGTAATGATATGGCAGAATAGTTTTCAAATAAATTAAATGACAATTCGTCTCTATTTCTGGTTATATACTCGATGGCGGGGGGTAACCGATGGAAACACTTCGCGTTCGACCGGCTAGGCTGATATGATGATGCCGAATTGAATCAATTGTATTTTTTTCTTTTTGCGATTTCGCTGTTGATTACTATAGTTCATTTCACATAGCATGATTCCGGTGAAGTTTGAGATTTGAAGATGTAATAATGTAAAATGGTATGAAAAGAAATTCGATTTAAATATCTTATCGAGATAATTTGTAATCGATTTACAGAAAATAATTTAAGAATAACTAATAAACATAGTAAAAAGGATTCAATTATTATGTTATTAAATTACCAAAAAAACTATGCAAGAAATTAAAAAATCAACAACTACCAAACAAAAAGTCAACATCAAAGCATAAAATCAACAACAACGAAACGAAATTCGAACAATTACTTCAAAAACACCAAGCAAAACTCAAAACAAAAGTCGCGGGCACCTGCTAGTATGCTATAAATCCTGCTACTCCTAAGCTTGCTTTTGACGAGAAAAAGAAATCAATATTTTATTTCATTTAATCACAATGGTGTACCTTTGTGTGTACCATTTATAGATAGTATGAATCATGATTAGATGTCCAAAATGTAAACAAAGAAATGCCATTGTCAAAGTGTGTCAATGCAGGTGTGCTAAACCTTCTATTTATAACGGAATAGGAAAAGGAGGAGGTTCTTATTTTCTACAACTTTAGTTATCTATATATTATCTAATATATAGATAACTAAAGTTGTAGAAAATAATATATATTATTATTATAGTAAGTAATATATATTATCTGTTACAAAATATTAACAATATACAAAAACTTGTACAATAACATACAATAATTTAACAAACGCACTATGGAGACGAGAAAACATTCCAGTTCGAAAAACGAAGCATGAATAACATCTATGACACAACAAAATGGCAGCACAAAAAATGTTTTTGATCCCGATTGTGTTACCAGTGTCATAAAATTATTTACGACCATAAACATAGCCTTTTGTTGTAATTATTGTATTAAACGAAATTAAGTAAAAATATATTGCAAAATGTGAACTGTTCGAAGTTTTATCAGATTTTTTTTCTTATAATATCAACGCGACGAACAAGCCGTGTGCTTGATGGCAAGCTATACGCCTGTCCATAACAATTGTAGTGCCACTCAGAGCTATAAATCGCAAAGATCTGAGGAACACTGCCACTGCACCCGTCACCCTGGGACATAAGTTGACAAGTCCCATGTGCCTATAATTTCACCAGCACCCTTAAACCGAAACACAGTAATGCTCACATTACTGCTTGGCGGCAAAAATAGGTAAGATGCTCTACTCCTACTAAAAGATTACAGCTTGACAACAGTTCTAAATGTTTATTATTGTCATAAATAGGAAACTGTCGTTTGTAAAGTATTTTTGGGCATCTAATTATGATTCTTCATTCTCTGTTCAATGCAGGTTGATATCTTCATTTATCTTTGAAGAGATAATAAAACTTCTCGTTGTTACGTACAGGTGATGCCCTAGCAAGTACAGTGTACCCTCTAATCCGGTCCCGCCTAGCGACGGCCCTGACCGCGTGGCACCCTGCGGACGGATCTGCACGGCCGCTGCTGGCCGCCTGGAAAGACGCCTGGGGCGGCGCCCTGACCGCCATGCTGCATCAGCACATTGTGCCTAAGCTGGAACATTGCTTGCAGACTGCACCTCTAGAACTTGTTGGGAGAGAGAACAGTGAGTATTTCTGTTTTCTGGTAGCCTGGTACCATGCAAAAACGAACCGGATGTGATTATGCAAATATGATTCAAGTCATAAAATGTTATTTACATACACACGCCATCACATTTAGCGGAAACAAAAAAGAATGTAAAGTAGGAACGTTTATATTTAAATAAATAAGAATTAGACATAAATTAGCAATTAAATTAACATCGACTTATTAAAGGCTTCATTCTTTGTAGAAAAATTGTATATTGTACAACAAGTGCATAAAATGCGCCATTTTACCGAGACGAGTATACCTGTGAGTGAATACTTAAGTCGAGGGTAAAATGGGTCTTATGAACGAGTTATACACTCTGCTTTTCAATTCGATTGCGAGGAAATTAAACAGCAATTTTACAAATAAACGATTATTTAACTACATTTGAATGTTAAATTACAACAATTAGATATATTTAATGCATTGACTTACAAATAAATGGACGACGGGTCTAATACAAAAACCACGAAAGAAATGTCCCAAGTCAACCTATTTAAACGTAGTGACATGTAAAGAAATATGAAAAAGCTAAAACGTTGAATTTAAATTGTAATGTCATCGCAGTACTGTCTAATTTTGCTTGCTTCGCTGTCAGTCGAACAAACGAAGACTAAAGCGTGAATGACGCTCTGTATACGATTTTAACGCCCTATAAGTTCGGACACTTTTTAGCGCGGACCCGACGTCCATATAATTGTAAGTCAATGATTTAATGTGATGGTTTTATTATTTTATACACTAGAGCATAAAATCCTATATTATGCGCAAGAGCATAAAATCCTATTTTATGCGCTAGAGTATAAAATACTATTTTATGCGCTACAGCATAAAATCCTATTTTATGCGCTAGAGCATAAAAACCTATTTTATGCACTAGAGCATAAAATCCTATTTTACGCTAGACCATAAAATCTTATTTTATGCGCTAGACCATAAAATCCTACTTTATGCGCTAGAGCATAAAATCCTATTTTATGCAGTCTACATGCAGCATAAATACGAACTTTAAGAGCATGAGAAGTGAAAATTAAATTAATAAACAAAATGCATTGCTTTAAAGTTTTGTGACAGCAGTAGTGGTTGAAAATTTAAAGATTACAATTGGCTAAGTTAAATGTGTTTATTAGTTTTACTTTTTTTTACTAGTTTTGTTATGATTAGGAATACAAAGATTGAACACACAGAAAAAAATTTCGTCAACCCGCATCCATGCTGCACCGTAGCATTGCTCTTTAGCAACTGACCCGTACTGGACCCGTAGCTCTAGCAGCATGGACGTGGGTACACGAACCACCGGGTCGACGAAATTTTTCTGTCAATCAAGGTTAAATTAAAGTTTAATATATTAAGAAAGTTTGTGGAATTTATTGGAATGTATAATTCATCTCCAGCTACTCAACAAATCTAAGTTAGTAGGTTAATTAAAACAAATTGATAAAAAAAAATAAAAAAAAGCAAAATAATTGTTTAGGTGTTTTTAAAAAACAATGTATCATTTCGGGGTTTTTACTAGTGTTCCGGTAAATGCGCTGGTGTGTGCAGTTAAGTATGAATTTGACTCTGTGATTGGTATGACTTTAATTTGTAACTTACGTCTGAAGTAAATATTGTTTGTTTATAAATGGATAACTGAATACTAAATATTTTATATAAATAAAAATAGTCATATTATATATTGCGAATAATGTAACTATTTTCATTTATACAAAATATTTAGTATCCATTCAGCATTTTTTAACTTTCAAGCTAACTTGATTTTAAGCGTAACGAACTGAAAACCCGACCATCTGTGGTAATCAGTTATAATTTTGAAAATGGTATGATTCACCCGGAAGGTTGGCTACATAAGCCATATGCGAGCTCACTAACACCGTCTACATTGGAGCCGAAGTGGTCGCCTTAGACGAAATTGTTTGGGAGCATTAATTCTTTATTCATTCTTTAAGTACCTTCGTGGCCGAACGGTTACCACGTTGGACTGCCACGCGGAGGTCTCGGATTCGATTTCCGGGCCGGGAGAAATATTTGTACGGCCTACATTTATTTCTCTCGTGAGTTTGTAATTTGTGGTTGTCTATGTATGAATCCATGGCACCCGCGATACAGCATTTCCCTAGTGCGGAGTTATGAGTGTGTGCATTATTATTATTTAGCTTTGAAGTCGTGTCTTCTTAATGCCGCCAATGTTTGAGTTAACACAGTATTCGGTTTGATTTTTTTTTATAATCCTGGTGGTAAGAGACACGCCTGGCTACAACAGTCGCAGTGCCATTCAGGGTTTTAAATCGCAAAGATACGAGGGGCACTGCCACTGCGCCACACAAGTTGACAAGTCCCGTGTGCCTTACCCTTCAAACCCGGGACGCAAATGCTGCGGGAGCTCCACTGCTAGAGAATGAAGCGATGCGGTCCCTCCGTCTGTCCGCAGCGGCGTGGCTGTGGTGCGTGGACTGGCTGGCGCTGCTGGGCGCGCCCACGGTGGCGGCGGTGGCGGCGCGCGCGCTGCTGCCGCGCTGGCTGGCGGCGCTGGCCGCGTGGCTCAACGCCGCGCCGCCGCACGCCACCGTGCTCAACTCCTACACGCAGTTCAAGGTGCGACTTCCGACCCCCTCGCCTTTTAGTACACGCTGTCACTGAGTTTGGTCAAAATAATGCGTATATCGAGTGTATAACAAGGGCCATACCTTCCAGGTAACTCATCAGTGATACATCACTTATAAACACCAACTCTCGTTTGCACTGAGATATAGACAGCGCCAACAACTGACCTATGTGTATGTTTTCATATATTCCAAAAATATTCTGTGTTTATTGTAATAAAGATAATATCTTTAACGATGGCGTGCTGTTCCATTCGGTGGTGTGGGGAAAAACAGCAAAACATCTAATTACAAAACAAACGAAATCAAATTTTATCGGTAATTAAATATGTAATTTAGCGATTTTCGTCCATTGTAGCAAAGCTTATGTTAACTGGTCGATTTGAAGTGAAACAATTGACAACACCCGTCAATTGTTTCGAACTCGGGCTGGCCAATCGGAGCGCAGTTGTCACAGTAATGATTTGGCAGGATAGTTTTCAAACAAATGACATTTCGTCTCTATTTATGGTTATATACTCTATGAATATAACTCATTTCACATAGCATGATTCCGATGACGTTTCAGATTTGAAGTTTCTAGAGATGTGGTGATGTAAAGCGAATGAAAAAAATCAATTTAAATGTCTTATCGACATACTTTGTAAGGATGAGAGAATCGATTTACAAAAAATAATTTGAGAACATATAATTGACAAAATGAAAAAAATTTAATTATAATGTTATTAAGTTACCAAAAAAACTTCACAACAAAAAAAAATCAACTGCAACAAAACGAAATTTGAGCTATTACTCCAAAAACATTACGCAAAGCTGACAACAAAACGAGATACACAATAGCTGATTCGATTCATCGATTTTATGGTGTAAACCACTACGGATAATATGTTCCGTTTCACGCATCAAATAAATGGGATAATTTATTTTTGTCTTCATCATTTGATTTGATGATTCTCTTTCTACTTAATATACTGTAATTTTTACTTAAAATTACAACCGTAACAAATATTGTTTATTTTTGGTACATTATGACAAATTTACTATTTATTTTTATAATCTGGTTGACAGATTAGTTAAAAATAGTGAGCGTGTAACGTAAACAATTGAAATGTCACAGAACTCGTCCTGTGTCAAATGGACTAAAGTCTGTTCCAATCCATTTTGAACAAAAAGTAAAACTGTTTGGTTAAAATTCTAAAGCAATCACAATAAATCGAATAAGTAACACATTAACTTATATTTCGAAGATTTCGACTTGATATGTCATCACTTTTTTCAACAATATTTATTTGAATAGCGTCGTAAAATTGTATCTGAAAAATGGTAGTCCAAAAGTGACGTTATTATATCTATGACTTATCTATGGTTGCATAGTGCTGTACGAAAAAAATACATTCGGTTCATTCAATTATAGTTTTTGTTGTCGATTACTAAATCGAATATTTCAATCGCAGTCGAACGAATATATACGAACTGTAAGAATTTGAAGGAGGATTTAAAGTTAAAATTTGGGAAATTTTAAATATGCTTATATTGGTTATGTAGGGAAAACCGCTAGTATGACTCAATTGAACAAATCGATGCATTCAATTAATTAATCGATTTGTAGTTGCCATTACGATTGGCCATCACTAAACCGTCTATGGTCGGGTCAGTGACTTGTTTGTTTACATTTTGTTCAAAATGGATTGAAACGAAGTATCTAATGGTTTGACCTATCCTCTCAAGCAGAGAGCGTGGATTCTAATCCGAGCTTGCACCCTCGAGTTTTTCAAAATTTAGTTTAATATTTACTATGAGCTTTCCGGTGAAGAGAAACATCGTTAGGAAACCTGCACACATCTGCATTTTGGCGACCTCTGTGATCTAGCGGCTTGCATGCCGGTTTTCATGGTGTCTCTCATCTCTGAGGTCGCGGGTTCGACACCCGTTCGGGTACAGGAAACTAACTTTCCTATATTGTCTGCGTGTTTGTGGTACCGTCTTTGTTTCCGATTTCCATAACACAATTGCTTTAGTTACTTTGGTATCAGAGGAACGTATGTGATGTTATCCAATATTTAAAATTTAATATTATTTAAATCGATACCGCTGTTTAACACCCACATTACTTTTAAAACAATCATAGATTTTTTTATAACAGAAAATGTTTCCTGAAGAAGTCCTCAAAGAACCAGCCGTACGAGACGCTTTCAGAAAGGCTTTGGACATGATGAATCGAAGTACCGACATCGATTCGATCGAGGCCCCACCGCCGCCACGCTTCACCATAACGGACACCAAGGAGACCTCAAAAATATCAGAAATATTGGCCACTACAACTCAACACAAGAGTTTTTCAGAATTATTGGAGTCTAAATGCATTGAAAAGGGAATTACATTCGTACCAATTCCCGGCAAGAGCAGGGAAGGCAGGCCGTTGTACAAAATCGGAGAATTGCAATGTTATGTTATAAGGAATGTTATAATGTTTTCTAATGACGGCGGTAGGACTTTTTTGCCTATTGGTTTAGAGAAACTTTTGAGTATGGTAGAAGATTAACATCTGAACGGATACAAGAATAAAACACTACGTAGTAAAGTACTGTGAGGTGATCCAATTCCTTAACTGATACGCACACTTGTCTAAACTTCCGGAATTGTGTTTTGTACTTTATATTCGATGCTGATGACTAACTAGCAGTTACTTTACTATGGTAGTGTATAGTGTATTATGTATATGTTGAGTGTGTGCGTTATTTATTTAGAGAAGAAAAGTTTTGTGATTGGAAGTAAAAATATAACTATTCGGTTTTGAGTTTTTGCCTTTTATTTTTTTATCGCTCAATATGTGCCTCATAAAAATGCTCAAGGTCACCCAAAGGCAGTCCCGTATCTTTCTATATAATGAATCAGATTGACAGCATTCGCTAGATCTACGATACCTCCCAAGTCAGTTATTGTAAGTCAAAATAATTTTTTTTGGCTTTTAAACTTAAATGTGTCCCTTTTACGTATATTGTAGGTTCCGTATTGGAAAGTAAAAAGATTACTTAGTGTTATGTTTACTTTCAAACATGGAACCTATAGTATACATAAAAAAGTATATAATTATATAAGGTAAAAAGCAAAAAATGGTATTTTGACTTACAACAACTTACGTGTGAGGTTCCAGAACTCTATAAATGCTCAAGTTAGGATTTGAGTATGATTCAAAGCACTAGAAATTATACTCAAGTCCTTGCCATTAGGGTCGTATTTCCAGTGCTTGAAATCATACTCAAGTCCTGACTTGAGCCTTAGAATAATAACGCATAGAATGATAGTTTCATATCAAATTAACTGTCACAAGTGAGGCAAAAATCAAATTCATGTAGGCTAGTTTTAGTAGTAGGTTAATTTTCGGTTTTAGCGAATATTTATATAAAAATACAAGTTGAAACGCGTTACTTCCTTGTGGAATGTGATGTTAGTATCTATTTTATGTTTGTCTGACGTATTTTTACACTCATTTTCCGCACATTTCGTCATTTTTAGCTAAAATTCTGGAGCTGTTCGCGGTGCAAGTTGACCTTGAGCACTGAAGGCCCGCCCGCTCGTGTAGGCCCATTGGGCGCGCTTCAATTTGCCTCACTTAGCGTGTGCGGACTAGGTTTCTATGCGTTATTATTCTAAGACTTGAGCATTGAGAGATGTCCAAAATGTAAAAACTGATGATCGAGAAAAAACATTTTAAATGGTGGTTTCCTATTTTTGACAATAATCAACGTTTAGAACTCTTGTCAAGCTGTAATCTAATAAACTAGAACAATTCACATTTTGCAATATACATTTTTACTTTTTCGTTCAATACAGTAATTATAATTAAATACTACGTTTGATTCATTTCTCGAATTCAAATGTGTCTCCGTAGTGCGTTTGTTAAAAAAGTTTTTGTTTATTGTTAATATTTTGTAATATTGTATATTGCAAAAAATGAGATTCTCTTTTTCCAAGTTCTTCTTCGTCTTCTTTTAAATGTTATGGCTCCATCGACATAATCAATTATTTTGCCAATGTCAAGTAAAAATAACTATGTACGGTAGTTTAATATTATTATAAAAATTATACAAAAAAATGGCGATTTCGCCAATGTCCTGTGAGAATCTCCCGTTTCCCTGTTTGTCTCCAATTCCGTTAAAATAGAATGTATTCACACTTTGACAATGACATTTCTATGTTTACATTTTGACATTTAGATAAGATTATTACTGTTAAATGCTGTTAATACTATGTTTTTTTCCCATCCTCTAAGATATTTTTCCATTTTTTTTGTAGTTGTCCTCGCTATCAACTTCTTGGTTATCAGTAAGGGCACTGTAACACAGGGATCTTATAGCGTGTCTTATTCCAGCGTGACCATGGTCGAGTTTTTGTTTGACTAGCTAAAAAAAGTCGCTATTTAGTCGGTTCTAGTCGCAAAAAAACTAGAACAATGAACAATGCTTGTTCCAGCAGGGACAGTAAAATACTTTAATAACTTGAAAACGGCGCGGCGGCGGACCAACTAAATCTAGTTTTTTGCAACTAGAACCGACTAAATAGCGACCTTTTTTCTGGTAAGTCAAATCTCAAAAACTCGACCTTGGTCACGCTGGAATAATGCACGCAATTTTATAAGGTCCTGGCCCCAGATCAGCCCGTGGACAGGGTCGTCACAGACCGTTGTCACGGACCGCATCCGGTTCTCAAAAAGCTAGTGCCTCGGGTGAGCGGCCCAGGGTGCACGTACAACACCCTTCGTACTGACAAACGGGAAATACCGTATTTTCCAAAACTGTTGGTATGCTCATTTTCCGTTGTGCGTTGCAGAACTAACGGTTACCACCGCTAAGCCGTTGACTCTAAATTATACTACTAATTCTCCTCGCTGGTAACGGAGCTGTAGACACGTTCACTTCCCGACATCACCCAAGGGCAATGAAGAGGGCTATGCCCGGAGTTCGGATATTCGCAAAATAACCAGTTTTTAGTAGCAGAAGAGCTCCATGTGAAAGAGTTCGTCCAGAGAAGTACTGCCACCTTACCTATTTCTGCTGTCTGCGTTCCGACTTTGAAGGGTACGGGTGCTGGTGAAATTACAGGCGCATTGGGACTTGTCAACTCATGTCTCAGGCCGTCAGGCGCAGTGGCAGTGGCCGTCAGATGTTAGTTGTACTGCATCTGTTATCGACAAGCATGTCGCTTATCATCAGGCGCACGACTTGTTTGTTCCGTCACTTAGTTATTATAAAAAAAAGAAGAAAACAAATATTTTGGGATCAAAGGATATACTCTCGTTCTCGTTCGACATGTCGTCCGAAACAATTACTGTCAAATAAATAATACTCGACCAAATCAAAAAACGTACGTACGTAAAAAGCACGCACTCGCACACACGCACATGTTCGCACGAACACACAGGCGCTCGCACTCGCAAGCACTCGCAGACACTCAAAGACACTAGGAAGCACTCGCACGCATGCCTTGCTACCTCGCACATCTCTGGTGGAATCGCAGTCTAAATCGAATGCTCGTCGGTGAGAGAGGCAGTGTTGTAATGTTATGCTCGAAAACGAATCTTGGATTGTTCCATTACAGTGAATGCTCGCGGCGAGGGAGCGCCTTAAGGGTGTCTGCGATAGTTGCAGACAAAGCATTCTTCTTCATCTTAATGGACATAATAGAGCAAGTCCTAGAAAAATAAGTAGTGTTATGGGAGGGGCCAGCCAAGCTGTTTGGATTAACAAGTACATACTTCACGTTACGTTCCCTGTAGTAAATAAGACCTTTTTTTTTAAAAAACAAATATGCATACCTCAAATACGTATGAGTAAACTATATTCGACTTGACGACATCGTCCTGCCAATCGTGTAAAAAATCGAGAGGTTTTTTTTTAATAAACGCCCACATTTTGATATGATCGTCGATCGATGATACGCAACTACGCAGCTCCAAATACATCATACAAAACAATATACTTATCTATCGCATAACAAGCAGTTGAGCGGAACAAAAGTCACACCTACCCCATAATTCGTATCATATTCGCACTGTTCTGCTCGATCTACCGTATGAAATGTTTTATAACTCGCAGATTGATTCTTTATTTCAATAACCAAATGGCTTTATTAAACACGCGAGTATAATACACGATTTGTTCGCATTTATTATATTTTTAGAACATTTAATACATTCTATAGCAAATTATACAAAATTGTAGGCTCGTGTACATTTATTCCCAAAGCGTATACTTTCGCATAATTTTTACATTTCTATTGTCAGTTCAACAATTATCATATTTCTAAAAAGTTTATCACATTCGCGAATTTTCGTATTTTATAAATTTCAGGTACTGTCAGACACACTGACTTTAAATTTAAACAAGGAAAGTTAGAATTGCATTTTATCTTTTATTAATAATAAAATATTTTGTTCAAATCAAATTACGTGTTCATCGTGTTTTAAGGCTTACAAAATAAATAGTTTCTTCTATTACTTTCGATACTGTAGTCAGTTTGTTAACTAACGAGCCGATCGTTAAAGTATTAGTCTATGCATAATCTGTTACACTATGACTGTATTAGTTGTTTAGTTTAGTTAGTTCTATCATAGATAGATTATACAACCACAATTGTATATGTATCTATGATACAACACAGAAAACTTATTGAGGTATATAAATTTAACCTTACTTAACCTGTCTAAGCAAACACTTAATTCAATTGATCCGTTCAGGTAATCATTTGTTATTTTTGTTAATCGTTCATCGATATTCTATATTTTTTTCTGACGCCACATCTTCTCTTATCTTAACATTATGCACTGAACTGTACCAAAGTTGCAGTCATGAGAAAAATACTGATATCGGCTAGAAAAGTTATAAAACTGCTAATGAAAGCAAAACACGTACAGAAAGTATATGCTTTGCGAATAAATGTACAGGACCCTACAATTTTGTATAATTTGCTATAGAATGTATTAAATGTTGTAAAAACATATAAAATGCGAAAATTATGAGAATACCTACACAAATTCAATATTCAAGTAAATATTTTGAGGAAATTATTTTATCGAGACGGTTGTAAGAGAATAATTACTCGTATAACATTTTTTTTATAAAAAAGAACCTCAAAAGTTGGTTAAAATTAAGATCGTGGGATCCATAATCTAAGTGGGGATATGAGTAGGTACTTGAAAATCCTACTAGAACCAAGAGAAGTGGCAGAAAATGAGGAGGGATACACCGATATGCAGTGGCAGATTTGGTACCTAAGGCCCAATAGGCTCTGGCCTTAGGCGGCCAGATTTTAGAGGCGACCAATCGTGACAAAAAATTCACTGACGATGACAAGAAATAACACAAAGTACCTCAATATTCTAAAGGCTCACGCACATTATAGCGGGTCGCAATGCAATATGCAATAATCTTCCTAAATCACTTTCGTACATTTTATGTATAAAATACAGATATGTTACATATCTGTAATCTAATGTATAATCGTTACATAATAATATTGTGACTACCGCGTCTGTCTGATCGTGATAAACTCAAAAACTACCTAACGGATTTTTATGTGGTTTCCACCAACATGGACAGAGGGATTCATGAGGAAGGTTTAAATGTATAATTTAAGGTTTTGTGTAAGTTGACTGAAATATGACGATAAATGTTGAAGATGTCGGAAAAAATCATGCCGGCTGGGCGCTTTACTGATGTCGAGCGCCCCGTACAGAGATATATCCAAATCAATGTTCTAGAAAAATATTAAAATTATTAAATAGTACATTTCTGAATCGATTTCGATAAAAGTTGGCAATAAAGTAAATTCATTATGTAGTCTGCCAGTATAAATATGATGAGTGCTGAGAAAGGGGCGGCTGGTACTAACTGAACAACACTGCAAATCCGCCACTGCCGATATGTTTGAGAATGGCTAGAAAGACAAGAAGATTTTTGATTCCAATGAAATTGGTTCATATCACGTGACTATTTAAAAAAGAAAACCTACTGTCGGTTGGTGATCTTAGAATCTAAATAATAATTCGCTTTATGTACCAATACTAACCTAATTCAGCTATATTGTACTATTAGGTAATCTAACATTTACTTAGGCAAGCTTATTTTTAGATCTGACGACACTTTTAATGAGCCTAATTCGCAGTCACTTGTCTTATCTGCACACAGGCCCGAAATACTTCTGTTAAACATGTTTACAAATACCTGTAACTCGGATACAGCGAGTTGAGAACTTGACATAGATACCTACCTAACTATTATCTTTATTATCAATCGAATCTATTTGTAGAGATGACATTGCCAATGAAGACTTAATAAGAAGGCACGACTACGCATAAAATCTGTCAATTGTCACGCCAGCATATAGGAATGTAAACAAAACATAGTGTTATTAGGTAATTTATCTTTCTATCTTGGATGCATTCCTTTTGTTATTAATGAGGTCGGCTTTATGCAAGACGAGCGATTCAAATGGCGACGTATTTAGTAACGTGACCGCTTTCACATCGGCATGCGACGGTGAATACATAGGTATTCATAACTATACTATGGGAACTGGCTATTATAGTTTTACGTAGTGTATCACGGTTTAAATTGCGAATGTCAAAAATATGATCTTCACAGGAATATAGTCTTTAGTCCTCTGGTAAAATTATTTGTTACGTTATGGACAATCTCATGTTCTTTTTAAAACAACTCCAAAATGACACAATCAAAGCAGTTCTAAAGGATTCGGGTCAATGAAATTAAAAAGTATATAATTTTTACAAAGTTTTTATTTTATAATAAACGTAACAGTGAGAAAATCAATAGTTACAATTTGCTGTCCGACATCCTGTCGTTCTGCAATGTTTTTAAAATTTTAAGTAGTTGCGGTTTTTCTGAACATTTTCGAAATGTTAAGAAATATTATAAAATACTGACTTAAAAACAAAAATGCTTCTTATTACAAGATTATGGTTCATTTATTCAAGTGAGATAGTAATTTTCTTTTTTTTAATTGTAGTTTATTTTTCTAAAATGCATCTATTTTTTTTCCATCTCTCATTTAAATAAATGAACCATATATCACAACAGTGGCACTGAAATCTGTCCAAAGACTATACAAATATGTAAACTCTACTTTTTCATAAGTTGTGCAGTATGTAAGGCACATAATTTCATTGAATGAATCTAAACAAAAGCATTTTACCATGTAAAATTATGGCCGAAATAAATTTTCATAATTTTGAGTTCATTTATCTAAAACAAATTGTCGAAGTATATTTTTCAAAATTGATTTTGGTGAAATAAAAAAAAGTAAGTAGGTGTGAGTAAACAGGCAGTTATTTACAAACTCTCAAAGCTTAATAATAAAAATTTGGATACAATACTGACGATTAATACATACAAGAACAGTGTAAAGTAATACGGATAGACTAGCTACAAAAAAAAAGCTAGAAGCATATCACTTAGTTTTAACAGACTTTATTACTGTAACAGAAAAATAAACTATTCAAAACCTTTCAACATGCTTAGTAGTAATTCTTTCATAAACAAAGCTATCAATAAAAATGTAGAAAGTTTGTCTAAAAAAGTTTGTATTTAGTTTTACAGAAAAAATGTTTAGTGATTTTTAGTGATGAATTAGACTTGTATAACTTTGACCTATCTAAACAATAAATACATCTAAACCTCGTTACAGAATTAGAACTAAATATACGTATAAAAGTTACTACAAATTCACGTAAAGGCAACCGTTCGATATGACTTGAAGGCACAAATGATTATTGTTAAAACAAAAAAGGTAAAAACCTACGATCTATGTTTCTCGCGTGTAGGCTTTCACAGAATGATTGAAGTTTATCTCCAAGCACCACTACACTTCATCAATATTAAATCTCTCTCTAAACCTAACCCTTAACCATTTTTAATAAATTTTAACCACGATTAAAATGCTACACCTATTTGTTAATCTGATAAATACTTTACAATAAAAAAACTTTATTGTATATCTATTATTGCCATCTTCGAATGTACGCAGCCACATCTTAGCTGCTACAAAGTTGAAATAAATAAAATTTAACATCACTTTACCGAGTAAGCGATCGATCATTCGCGATTCGTAAATGTGGAGATTGTTGCATGCTAAATAGATTTCATCTTATTTACAATCGGAAAAAAGAGACAAAAAGGCCTTGTTTTCTATCACATTTAAGTTTGGATCACTTAATAGGCAATAGCCAACGTAAATAAATAAAAATGTATACAAAAAAGGTAGATCGCGCCACGGTGAAAACTCAAAAATAAACTATATAAACAACTAAT